ATATGATTCTACGCCTTCGAAGGCCAGTATCCAGAAGCTAGGCTTATAACAGAGGCCGAGTAAGCTTCCTGTAAGATACCGAGCTATGGACGGGAAGCCTTACTATCTGGTAGATGTCCTTGTTCCCTACTCCTGAAGGTACTAATCTAAATCAACATGGAAAATGGATCGCTATAAAAATTGGGCGAGCTTCGTAAAAACAAAAGGGGTGCTCGGACGAGATTTCAATCGCTGCAAAGCAGTTTATGCAGCTGCATGAGAAATACCCCTTTTCAACAAACGTGCTGCACTTTAAATGCTGCAACGCAGTCGTACTCGTCTTTTCTGGGGAGGAGTGAATGACGGTGGGCGTTCGTTTGTCCTTGTTGCTGTGTCTGGTGTCTCATTGAATTCCACTGGTATTCCACTGCTTCCCCTTATACGGAAGTATTAGTCTTTCAGAATCTAAAATTTCTGGTGAAACCTATCTTTGTCCAGACATTTTTAATTTTTTTTCAGATTGTCCTACCAGGAAACGGTGGAAAACGACAGTTTTTTGAGGTAAATATCAAATGGTTTTTTTGTGAGTTCCAGAATACTTTTCTTGACCGCAGTATTTGTACCGGGGCAATTCGACCTGATTTCAGACCACGACGAAACTTTTTCATGTCTTCGGGTCCGTCACAAGCACGTGTCATGGAATTGGAACNGATCATGAACACAATTGTACCACGACATAGCCGTAACGTAAAGCCGTCGTCGGACGACGTCGAACAACGACCGAACAGAGCCGTCGAAAAATCGCTGCTTGGTTCAACAGCACCATGCTTCTGTCCAGCATTTGCTCGATGTATCGGCAATTGCCATAGAATATTCCGGTATTGGTGAATGGTCGTAGTTACCGACATCATTTAGAAAGTATCGAAAAGAGACATGCTTGACTTACAAATAGTCAGTCACTGAATGTTGCAATGTTTTTCATGTAATTCCTAATTTTTTTCTCTTTTCAATATAAATGTTACCGAAACGATACGGTACCTAATAAAGATGTTGGAATGAATCAAAGAAACCTTTACCTACAGCCAGACTTGTCCTGTTTCTCTTTTATAGGAAGATAAGGCTTTTTATCGTAGGCTGTTAGTTCTACGGTGGCGAGGAAATTGAGAAAACCCGCAGTAATCACGAATTCTGAGGCCTTGTATGACTTAGCTATAAACTTTCAAGGTAGACGAGTTTATGGTCACGAAAGGGTTATCTGGACGAGATTGCAGTAGCTTTAGAGCAGTGTATGTTAGCGATTAGTGTATGTATATCAGCCAACTGCGTTTACAACAAACGTGCTCTGTTTCTAATGCTACCACCCCAGACAAGCTCACTAAACACGTCCTTCCTGTGAAGTATTTAGCAGCAGCGAGCGTCGGACATTTGAGCTTCTATCGGATCCTATCTAGGCCAATTTCCTACACTACAATGCGTCCTAGCCAGCTTGCTTTTCCCCGCGATTTTGCCCCATAGGCCTTTCTTATGAACATAGAATAAGAATCTCTGAAATTAAATTTTTGGTGAACCATGCTTCTGACCACGCTCCGTCCTGAAGGGAGTGGACAGCTCCATAGGCCTGATAGAGTAAAGGCTTGTTTCTGTGCTCCTTCTACGATATCCTTAAGTTCACAGAAAATATGTTCATATCACCTTCGAAACCCTGAATGACGACTATTCTGCCAACCAGAGGATCACCCTGTTTTCGAAGCAACTAGTTGCCTTTGATACGCGGTGCAGCCTCATTAAGAAAAAAAGAGCAATAAAGGGTCATTATGTTGATGGACAGTTGGGATTCCNGTAAAGGCTTGTTTCTGTGCTCCTTCTACGATATCCTTAAGTTCACAGAAAATATGTTCATATCACCTTTGAAACCCTGAATGACGACGATTCTGCCAACCAGATGATCCCCCTGTTTTTGAAGCAACTAGTTGCCTTTGATACGCGGTGCAGCCTCATTAAGAAAAAAAGAGCAATAAAGGGTCATTATGTTGATGGACAGTTGGGATTCCAATAGCGGTGCTGATTCATTTACGATCATCGGATGGATTCGCTATTATTTTATTTCTACTCAACTGGTCTACAGCTGCGGCTCGGTGTCACTGAACAGGCCCTGCTGCCTTTCACAGTCAGATGGTACCAAAATGTAACTTTTAGGTAAACGCATCTCATATGAGCTCTGTAGGAACATAAACTTCCCAGTTTACCTTCTGTGACATATCTTTTCGTAGTTTCTGAGAGCAACTAACTAGCGCGAATTGAATAGCTCTGAATCAATCCCGCGTTGTACACGTTCAATGCACCTACCTGGCAAACTCTGACGTTACCGTATACCATTATGGTAATTTAGACCTCATTTTCAAATGCCATCATGATTTATGAAAAAGTACGATCAATAGGCCAACACCAGAACGCCAATATAAAAGAATTGCGAACCAAACGATTCAGTACAGATCCTATTTTACTGATGCACCATTTGGTTTTGCCTACCAGAGACTAACCTCTTGATCTTACCTATCTTCCCAAACCTACCAACATGCAGGTCGTACTTCTTTATGTTGTCCTTGTCGGCTTACTGGTATGTACTACCGACACGGCGCTAGCACGCGAGTTACAAAGAAGCTACCGTGGCTTCTTTGAACCTGGAGAAGATCCCGGTGACTATATGCCACCACAAGGCGATCCCGATTCTTATTCAAACGAAGGATTCGGTGGTCCTCCAGATTTTCCAGGCAAGATTTTGCTAGTAAGAGAGGTGATATTTAAGGAATGCATAGGGACATCAGATTACAGGGAGTTTGATAAAAGCTATATTTTAGATGGAGAAGGTGGACCAAATTGGTCTGGAATGCAAGGCGAACTAGGCGGACCAGGCGCACAAGACGGACCCGGAGGCTCAGGTTGGCCAGGCTCAGAAGGCGGATTCGGGTCCCCATTTGGGTCTAATGGGCCAGACGGACCTGCTGGA